GAATCTTCTTGTCCACGGATTTATTATCCATGGATACAAGCATCCAGAGTTTGAAAATATTCAAAAAATATATAAATTCCAAAAAGCAAACCTTATAAATTCCAAAAAGCAAATTTTATATAAGGAACACCATTTTATTATCCATTGTATTTGATGGGAGATGCGCATCCACAGATTTTGGCATCCACAGGGGGTCCTGGAACCAAACCCCAGCAGATACCAAGGGCCCACTGTTGTGTGTGTGTGTGTATTTATTGTGTGAATATGTGTGTTAAAACACTGGGTTCAGTGCTTGGTAATGCTTGATTTAAGGATAGCAGGAGACCTATCCAGACTGCAATGCAGTATGAAGTGATTGTTGTTGTTGTGTGCCTTCAAATCATTTCCAACATAAGGAGAATCTATAGTGGTGCTTTCTCAGCAAGATTTGTTCAGAGGGGGTTTCCCCTGAGGCTGAGAGAGTGTGACTTGGCCATGGTCACCCAGTAGGTTTCATGTCCGAGCTGGGAATCGAATCCTGGTCTCCAGAGTGTGCTGTCCAGTGCTCAAACCACTATGCCACTCTGGCTCTCTCCTGCCAATCCTGCTAGCCATACAAATACAAAGACATATGTTTTATTTCAAATATCACAAGACTTTTCTTCTGCCCCTGTAACTGATTAATAAAGCTGTGCCCCCAGAAAGTTTTTACATCTCAGCAGAGTTTGTAGCTAAATGTCCTTGAGAAGCTCAGGAGGAGGCCATGAAGGTGATGTTGTACCTGGTCATAACTGCTTGTATCAGCATCTGATGTTCAAGTACACTCTGTCTGACCATGGATGCTTCCTTTATTTGGCTTGTAGGTCCCTATGGATCTCTTCACCACAAATTTTAAAAGAACAGTGTATCGGTAGGGGAATGATTTCAGCTGGTAGCATCATAGTGTATCTGTGATCTTAACAGATAGTTCCTCATAATTCTGTAACTATTAATGCATCTATCTGTTGTTAACTGCCCTCAAGTCATTCTTGACTCATGGCGACACTATGGATGAGACATCTCCAAGACCCTCTGTCCTCCCCTGCTCTACTTAATTCCTGTAACCCCTTAATACCTGTGACCTCCATAATAGAGTCCATTGATCTAGCATGTGGCCTTACTCTCTTCCTAATTCTTTCCCAGCATTATTGTCTTTTCTAATGATCCTTCTCTTCTCATGATGTGTCCGAAGTATGACAGCCTCAATTTGGTCATTTTGGCTTCTAGGGAGGTTTCCGGCTTGATCTGCTCTAGGACCCACTTGTTTATCCTTTTGGCTGTCCATGGGATCCTCAGCACTCTTCTCCAGCATCACATTATCTCAAATGAATTGATTTTCTTCCTATCATCTTTCTTAACTGTCCAGCTCTCGCATCCATACATGATAATAGGGAATACAATGGTTGTATGGCATTACAATGGCAAACTTCCTCTTGTATGCTGAGTTGTATATCTTTGCATTTTAGAATCTTTTCTAGTTCTTTCATAGCTACCCTCCCCATTCTTAATCTTCTTCTGATTTCCTGACTGCAGTTCCCGCTTCTATCAATATTTTGAGAATATTGATAGAGGTATGAGAATTCTTTTACTATTTCTATTTCTTCATTGTCTAGGTTGAACTTGTGAAGGTCCTCAGTGATCATTATTTTTGTTTTCTTTATGTTCAACATTAAGCCTGCCTTTGCACTTTCTTGTTTGATCTTCCTTAGCAGGTGTTCCAGGTCTGTGAGGTTTTCTGCTAGTATTATGGTGTCATCTGCATATCGTAGATTGTTGATATTCTTTCCTCCTATTTTCACTCCTCCTTCTGTGTCCAAGCCTGCTTTTCTTATAATATTTTCTGCATAGAAGTTGAACAGATAGGGTGAAAGGATACAGCCTGCCTGACCTCTTTGTCAAATGGGAACAATTCTGTTTCTCCATGTTCTGTTCTGACAGTAGCCACTTGTCCTGAGAACAGGTTCCATATCAGGACTATCAGATGTGTTGGCACTCCCATGTCTTTAAGGGCATTCCATAGCCTTTCATGATCTATGCGGTCAAAGGCTTTGCCTTTGTCTATAAAGCATATGCTGATTTTATTTATTGTATCTGTACTGTAGAAATAATGCAGCTGGATACCACTTTGACAGCCATGGCTTCATCATACAGAATCCTGGGGTTTGTTGTTTTGTGAGGCACTACAGCTAGTGTGGTATGGTGTTTTGAGTGTTGTACTATGGTTCTGGAGACCAGGGTTCAATTCCTCACTTGGCCATTGAACCCATTCCGTGACCTTGGGCAAGTCATATTTTCTCAACCTCAGGGGAAGGCAATGGCAAACTTCCTCTGAACAAATCCTGTCAAGAAAATACCCATGATAAGTTTGCCTTAAGGTCGCCATAAGTCGGAAACAACAACAACAAGCACACTTTAGCAGAAAAAAACTAAAGAGGTTGTAAAACTACAGATCTCAGAAATCCATAGGATGGAGTTGCAGTACTTAAAGTGGTGTCAAACCGCATTATTTTTACAGTATAGATGCACCCAATATCTATTGTTATTGGCATTCATATTCTGGATATGAGGGATCTGGAGACTGTGATACTTGATACTTTAAAGAGGGAGACTTTAAAGCCCTACATGGCTTGGGTCCATCTTATCTGCGGGACCGCC